AAAGAGTGTCCTTTGCCTTAAGAAGAACAAGACAGATAGCCCCTTGGCTGCTTCTGTTTGCTATTCTTGTATCTGACAACGTTTAATGTTGAACTCTGTCATCATCTCATCCTGTCTGTCCTCGTTCAGTGAAGTGACCTCAGTCACTCAGTGTGAGGGAGAGATAGGGCTGACTCACTATTCCTTGCACATAAACATTCAGAAACAAAAAGGTTTAAGCGAATGACAAGAGGTCTTGGCAAAGGTTACTTCAGGTCATCAATAACTTCTTTTGCAAATGCAGAAATCAATGTATGTGCAAAGTTTTCTTCCCCGAAATTTCAACTGGATGGAAAGTGTTGTCTCTGGTCCAGCTGAAAGAATCTTTGATGCAAGATGTTTCTTTTTCCTCTTTGAAACAGTACAGACATGATCCAGGTGACCCAACCACAAATTGGCAACTCAACACCGACGGGTTGCTTTTCTCCTAGCCCTGCCTTTCCTTCAGAGTGCATGCACTGAGGCCAGGATGGAGAAGCAAGAGACTGACTGTATCACAGAGAAGTCTTATGAAATGTCCCTCGGCCATGTCTCTGTTATGCTCCTTTAAGATTCAGTTTAAGTGTTCTAACCTGAATATGACATCTAGAAGATAACCCAGCCTCTGGAAGCTTCGGTCTTTACAAAGGCAGCAGGAGAGCAAAAGCTCCTCTGCATGCGGAGCTTACTTGTTTGAGGCTCTGGGGTGGAAAATTATGTCTAAAGACCAAAGGAGGGGTGGACAGAGAGAGAGAGATGGTTGCACTGTTTGTGCTTTTGAATTACTGTCCCTTTATTCCTCCTGTACCCTCTCGGTCAGTTCTGGGGATGCCAGACACGGTGGAGGAGATGTGCCCTGACATCCCCCAGCTGGAAGGCCTGATGAAGGAAATCAACGACCTGGCCGAGTCAGGGGCCCGGTACACGGAGATGCCCCACGTCATCGAGGTGATCTTGCCCATGCTCTGCAACTACCTGTCCTACTGGTGGGAGCGGGGGCCTGAGCACCTGCCCCCCAGCACAGGGCCCTGGTGCACCAAGGTCACCTCTGAACACCTCAGTGTCATCCTGGGCAACATTCTGAAAATCATCAACAACAACCTGGGCATCGATGAGGCCTCCTGGATGAAGCGCATTGCAGGTACCACACATGCCTTTCCTCCCCGGCCCCGGCCCCAGCCCCAGCCCCAGCCCCAGCCCCAGCCCCAAGACGCCTGGACTCTCTTTTCTTCTCTTAGTCGATCTTTAAGCTATTCCCCCTCCCCGCACTTAGTTATTTAACAGTGAAAAGAATTGACTTATTCCCCTGCAGAGCTTCCTGGAGCAAATGCTCCTGCCTAACTCCCCAACTAACCCAGGTCCCTCGAATCTCCAGGAAGCCCTTCTTGATAAACTCTACCCGACTCCCATGATCATTGTTTATTTGCTTTTGGTACTTAAGAATTCCCATTTGCTCTTACAGTAATAATTGGCCATATTTTCTTGGTAAGTGATCCTGCGTGTCTTCCACACGTACAAAACTCACTCCCATCTGGGCTGTACTGTAAGTTTCTAGCGTTTGTATTTCACTTTATGCTTCCTAAGACGCTCTCTAACTTAGGTTCACAGTAGCCCCACTTGGATTTCCGTCTTGTTTTGTATTCCTCCTTGCATGCAGTAGGCTCTTAACGAATGTTGTTAGCTGATTTTCTGCGCCTGAAACAACTCCAAAAGAGGAGAGCCTTGGAAAATTAGTAACCACACTTTCCACAGTCAGGAAACCATGAGTATTTTAGTGTCCTCTGTCAGAGTAGAGTTGAGAAGACAGAAGCTAAAGCAAAGTCATTGCCTTTGATGATGGACCTGCAGTTTTGATGGACCATAGCCGTTTCACCCCTACAATCTCCTAACCATAAAACACAGCGGTGGGATCGGTGGTAGCTATTAGCTTCCTGGACAAATGAGTAGATATTCCAAGGAAGAAAACTTCTACCGCCTTCCTGTCTCTGAAATGAACTTCAAATTATAAATACTTTGGGTACTGATGGCTCCTAGACAGTATAGACCTCTGGGAACGTATGAGTAGATAAAGTTGGAGCTCCTTTCTTACCTATTAGCCCAGGAATATTGTTAGCCCTGAGGCAATTTGCTGAGGAGCTCTAATTTCTAAATCTGGATTAAGGGAAGGAAGGTAATCGACTGGATGGACTCCCTTAGCCTTCCCCAGAGGTGCAGTGGAAAGATGTCACAGCACACTGATGGGAACTGAACGTGACCTGTTATTTCACAGGTGAACCCAGATCTCATTCAGTTAGGCCACTTCATTCCTGGTGCCTAAACAGAGTCCATTTTAAATAGCAACCTCAAATCAGCCATATCTGGAACAGCCAGTCCGATTCCAGATCCAAAGCAGAAATGCAGCCCGGTGAAGGCTGGAGTGTGAAATGTGAGCCATCGCAGTGTTGTTTCGACCTGTTGGTTAATGCTTCTCAGCAGCGAACTGTTTTCGCCTTCTCTTTCAAAAACAGCCGTATTTATGAAAGCAAAAAATAAGGTAAAGTGAGATTAAAAAGAAAAAGTGCTGGATTATAGGCTGTTTCCAATTGAAACGCCCTACATGAAAGAACCTTTGAAATACACAAAATACGCAATCAATGCACTTTGTGAATGGTTCATGACTCTTGAGAATTTTATTTCACTTATCTTTAAATAATTACTCTGATTCTCATCTTTATTATGGATTAGACCAATAGGATATTCCATTTAAGAAACTCGATGAGACATGTAAGTTTTATCTTTCTCTTCAAGAAGGCTGGAACCATAGGCCCAGGTCCCACTGATTGCTTGTTTCTGCTCATCGACTTCTAGTGGCCACCCCAGTCTGCCTCTCAGTTTATTATAGATGATAGTAGTTTCTCTGCTTTTCTCAGGGCCCAGAGGAGTCCCCAGGCAGTAGGTTGGCAGTTCTCAGGTCCTGGGGGCTGAGAACTGTGGTTGGGTCCATATATTTTTAACAAGAGACTTTTCTATAAACCAGAAAGCGTAGTATTCGGTGCCTACTCTTGACTCAGCACAGTGTTGGTTATTATGAATAAAAGGCTTATAATCTAGCTAGTGAGCCAAAACCAACATGAATGTACTCTAAAATGAAACAAGATAGCCTGTTATGAAGAGCTCAGAGGTATAGCAAACGCCATACGTGAAGAGTCAAAGGGTGGCAAGGTTTCCCCATGGCCTAGAGAAGCAGAACAGGAATAGAGACCTTCTCCTGTAGCTCCACCCCCGCCCCCAGCAACTGAGCCTTCCTGAGATGGAAGTGCGAAGCAGGGGATGAAGGAAGGGCAAGTGCCATCCTGAGTTGACGGCTTTTCACAGCCTCACCTTTGAGTATCCCTTCTTTCCTTTCATCGATTGTCATAACATGCAAAATGAGGGGGAGGCCCTTTGTTTGCTAACACAGTGTATGCCCAGCCAATCGTCAGCAAAGCCAGGGCAGACCTGCTAAGAAGCCACTTCATCCCAACTCTGGAGAAGCTGAAGAAAAAGGCTGTGAAGACCGTGCAGGAAGAGGAGCAGCTGAAAGCCGACAGCAAAGGGGACGCCCAGGAGGCAGAGCTCCTCATTCTGGATGAGTTTGCCGTCCTCTGCAGAGACCTCTATGCCTTCTACCCCATGCTGATCCGCTACGTGGACAACAACAGGTACGGAGGAGGCCTAGGCAAGTCCCCAGGATGGAGAGACGGTATTGGGTTTTGTTACAGGTGAGAGAGGGAGGTCACAGCTGCCACCACCAGTGCCCCTCCCCCACAGAATCCCCAGTGTGGGACCTCTGGGCAATGCTCTCCTTGGCCAGTGAGTCTACATGATCAGCGGCATATGGCCACCCCTTCCGTCTTCACAGGCCACCACAGGGAAGAGGGAGTTAGTCGAATAAGGGCAGCAGCGACCCACTTCTGCCCCTCTGCTGCTCTCTCACACATTCATTCAACAGACATTACTGACTGGGTATCAGGCACTGTTGTAGGCATTAGGGGACAAGAGAGAACAAAACGGAAAGAGACGTTGGCCCGGGAAGCTTTCGTTCCGGCAGGAGAGTGGGGCAAGCAGACAATAAGCAAAACAAATACCTGCATATTTACAATATACTTACTTATATACTTATAGATCTACTTATACACTTTACTTATAATTTACTTATCTAAGTAAATTATACAAGCAAAGTAAAGGGAATTAGGAGTGCCAGGGTGGCAGTTTTAAAAGAATGTTAACTGAGAAAGCGACCTTTGAACACTGACCCGAAGGAGGTGAGGTCGGGAACCGTGCAGGTCTGGGGAAGGGTTATGTTCCCAGGAAAGGGAAACATCTGGTACAAGCCCCGAGGAAGGGGTGTGCGTTGGGATGTTCGGGGCATCACGAGGAGGCCAGTACAGCTGGAGAAGAGTGAGGGGCCAGGAAAGCAGGAGGAGGCGCCCGAGAAGCCGTCTTCTCTCCACGGGGCCAGGGCTTCTCTTCCGAGCGAGACGAGCGAGCATTCGGTGCAGCTTTGAAGATAAGCTGTGATGTGATCTGACTCAGTCTTTGAACGCTGTGGTGAGGGGTCAGGCCAAATAAGGAAGTGAGGAGGCCGGCCGAGAGGCTCACGGTGACCCAGTCAAGAGCTGAGGGTGCAGAGCAGACTAGTGGTGCCAGGGCTGGGGCAGAGGATGGGGCTGGGGTTTCCTTTCAGAGTCCTGAAAATATTCTGAAACTAGATAGTGATGGTTGTACTAAATGTTGCTAATGAGTAATTTTATGTTACGTATATTTTACCACAATTAAAAAGAAAAGAAAAAAGAGCTGGTGGTGGCTGGGACCAGGATGGTAGCAATGAAGGTTGACAGAAGATGTCAGATTCTGGGCCTGTTTTAAAGGTAGAGCCCTTGGGACATGCAGATTGGGAATAAGAGAAAAGAGGGGAGTCAAAGATGATTCTGGGCAAATGGAAGGATGGAGTTCCCAGCAGTTGAGTTGGGGAGGATTGTGGATACAGAAGTTTTTTTAGGGCAAGATCAGGGTATCACTTTCAGTCGTGTTAAGTTTGAGTTTCCTCTTCAATACAAAAATGAAAATGTTGAGTGGGCGGTTGAATATATGAGTCCAGAGTTCAGGAGGGAGGCCTGGTATGTAGACATGAGAATTTGAGAGTCATCTACACGTTGATATGTGGTCTTTGAGCGACATGAGACTGGATGAGATAAATAAAGGCTTGAGAGGGAGAGAGAAGAGTTCTAAGGACTGAGCCCATGTGCTCAGGTCAGGCAGAAGAGAAGGAACCCGTGAGTGAGACTGAGAGGGAGCCACCAGTGAGACAGGAGGAAACCAACAGAATGTTGTGTCCTGGATGCCAACTTCACAAGGGATTTCCAGGAGGAAAGGATGATGAATGAAGGTTATTGGTGACCTTGACAAGAGCAGCTTCAATGGAGCGATGGAGATGAGGACCTCTTTGGAGTAGGCTGGAAGAGAATGGGAGAAAAGGACTTGGAGATAGCAGTACAGACAACTTATTCAAGGAGTTTTACTATAAAGGGGAACAGAGAAACGGGCTGCTAGCTGGGGGAAGAAGCAGGCTCAGTAGGAGAGTTTTTAAGATAGAGAAGGTGCTTGGAGGTTTGAGGAGGAAGGAGGCAGGGCCCAGGGAGAGTGGGAGAGCGGGTGGACCAGGGAAGTGGGTGGGATTGCCGGGCAGCATGCAGGGCGCCACTGGAGATCTGCGGTCGTGAATTGAAAGTGGGACCCATTGGCAACTCGTGTTTTCCTCCAGCCAGTTTGGCTGCCAGGTACGGGCCCAGACTGGGAAGACAGTTGGATTTAACCAGGGTTGGGGCTTTGCAAAATGAGTGTGACAAAGAAAAATGGGTTAGGGAGTTGAGGGTGTATATTATGGGGTAATTCTAAAGATTGGCCTTGGGATTTAAGCTGGATGAGGGGGCAATGAAGGCATAGGAGCCTAATGTTCATGAACAGGCAAAGGAACAAAGGACTGTTGGTCCCAGTGGAAGGCAAAGACCAAATAGATGTCTTTATTATACCACACCCTCTTAAAGCTTAGAGGCCTAAACTGTACGTTTGGGAAGGTTTAATTTTCAAATGCTCCATTGTAGATACTGAAAAGACCTAGGGATATTGGGGAGAACGTTGCTAACTTTTTGAGTGGTATGCCATTCTGTCATGGGCAAGGAATAGGTCTGGATATGCCCATTGTAGCATTTATTTCATAAGGTAAATTGTACTTACTGTTTAAAATATTTACTTAAGATTACTTATATTTAGCTTTGCAAAATAAACATCTTACACACATTATGTGTGTGTGTGTGTGTGTGTGTGTGTGTGTGTGTGTGTATGAAATTCCTTACCTATCTGTGGGGAATTTTACTACTGTCTCAAAAGAAATCCTGATTTCAGGGTCATCATTTTAGTCATTTCTGATAACATAATTATGTTAGCAGGTTAGCGAAGGAATTTGTCAGAGTTTGAGGTGAAAACAGAAATGAAGGTAGAGTAAGGTTGCCCCTGGAATAGCTCTTTAACTGCATTTGTCACTATTGATAATCAAGATGCAAGATAGAGTGTGTTCCACTTACACGTTGTTTGACAGTTGCTAAAAATGGCAATGTCAGAGAGTCTTTGAGATCATCCTTAATTCAGTCATCCCCACTTTTCAACCCTTTCTTCCCTGAACACCAGGGAGCACTATGGCCATCTGAGCCTCACTCAGAAATACTTCCTTCCTGTGTGTGTGCCTTTACCTCCTTCAAGTTCTTCCTTCACCCAAAAGAACTGGCTGGCTTGGAAGCACGGGATTGTGGAGTTGGCAGGAATAATAGAGGCCAAGCTCATCTTGCCTATAATAACTGGATGAATCAATATCCTCTTCCCTTTTCCTAGCGGTGCATTTCCGGCCTGATTTTCCACCACGGTTATGGATGACAGGTACAGCCATACTGTGCGTGCCTTCCCATTCTAGTTTCAGACGGTTAAAGCCATTTTTGTTCAACTCTTTCTCATTCATTTTTTTTCTTCCAGTTTTATTGAGATATAATTGACACACAGCCCTCTGTAAGTGTAAGGTATACAACAGAACGATTCGACTTACATACATCATGAAATGCTTAGAATAAGTTTAGTGAACATCCATCACCTCACACAGATACAAAATAAAAGACACGAAAAAGTATATTTTCCTTGTGATGAGGACTCTTGGGATTTACGCTCTTAACTTTCATGTATAACATACAGTGTTAATTAGATTAATCATGTTGCACCTTACACCGCCTAGGACTTAATTTATCTTATAACTGGAAGTTTATACCTTTAACCACCTTCATCCAGTTCCCCTTCCCCCCACTCTGAACCGTTTTTGTGTTCAGATCTGTATCTCCTATCAACTCTGATTTTGCTCTCTAGAGCCACACAAAACTACTCCAGTCTCTCTTGTGGCAGCTCTTTGAACATTGAAGAGAGCCATCCTGTCCTGTCCTCCCCTGTTTTCTCTCGTCATATTAAACCTTTGGACTTCCTTCAGCCCTGTCACAGCAGTGTTCCAAGTCTCTTCGACAGCTGAAACAGTCTTCTGAAGAGAAGCTTCTGTGGGTCGGTGTTGACCTGAAGCTGACCCAGAATAAGCAAGAGCTCCCGGCGCGCTGTGGTCCGAGCAGGGCGAATCAGGGTTCCATCTCCTCGTGCCGGGAGATTATACGTCAACATAGGTCGAACAAACCTCTCTACACAAGGCAGCAGCGTCTCAGCCTCCTTTCTGGAAATCAGTCACACTCTGAACAGAAACGACCAACTTTAAATAGTACGATCTTGGGTGAAAACCCATCTCGCAAACTGTTGAAGGGAATCCAAGTAAATCCTGTGTGGTGACCACCTCGGGCTGTATCCTGTACAAGAGGCTCAGGAACAAGGCAGAGACAAAAGCTCTTACCTCTTAGTCAGACAACCGGGCCGTGAATATAGGAACATGGCTTTACTTTCTTTCAAAACCTGATAACTGGCTTTACTGTCTTCGAAAACCTGATACGTTGTCATTTTGACAGTAGCAGTCTAACTCTCCTTTATTCTCCCGCTTTTTGTTTCTGTTTTACCTCTAAACCCAACTGTCTCCCCCACCTACAGCTTTGCATTTCCCAGCTGCCTTTTGGCAGCATGCAGAGCAGATGATAAAAGAAACCCACAGGTCGGTTAATTACCTCCAAAAGGATCAAATGTCTGAATGTTGAGAAAGGTCTGAGTTCTGTGGAAGGCTGGGAGCAGGGAGGAGAGAGTCTGGTTACATCATTTGGGGGTAGGAAGTGTACGGGCAAGTTGGAGAGGCAAGGTCAGGTTCTTCTGTCCTCCTGCAAATACTGACTTAATCTGGTTTGAGAGGTGCAGAGAGTTTACGTGCCTGGGGGGAAACCTTTAACGGTGGGTTCATGTGTACCCACCATTCTGAACCTGAAGATGGAACCTCACTAAAGACAAAGAGTAAAAATCTGCCTCTTGGAAGAAGGGTGTTGAAAACAAAATTCATTCAGCTGAAACTGCATTCCCATATGAAGGCAAAGGTATGCAAAGCCCCTTTCTCCTGTGAGCAAATGTTTACCTGAGATTTTGTTTTCAGTGTTCCTGCGACTCACACTGCCTGTGGCTGTGCTTTTCCTGGGCGGGATAGGATGTGACCCCTTGCCTCTTCCCACTCAAGGCACAGTGCAAGCCTATGAAGCACATTTAAACCAGAACCCTACAGAAGGAACAGCTGGCGGTTCTGATAAAACCTGACGCTTGACCCTGAGAAAGCGCTCCTGAAAAATCAATAGGAAAGAAATCAAAAAGCATTACCAGTCTCAAGCCTGGAGTTTGGATTGCATTTGGCTTCTAGTGATGGATACCTTATAGAGTGGCTTAAATTAGAAAAATCTCACACGTGAAGGAAGTCCAGAGATAGCCAACCCATGGCCAGTATGGCTGCTCCTCATTAGAAACCCTCACTCCTCTGTCTTTCTGTCCTCAACACTGGCTTCCATGTTCAAAGTTACTTCAGGTGCAACATGCCAATTGGAGTTCGAGCTGTCACGTTTTCATTCCAGAGAGGGAGTAGAAAGGCAAAAGGGCTCCTTCAGCTATCTGATCCTTTTTCAGAGAGCTTTTTCGGAAGGCTCATCCAACAATTTCCTCTTCCATCTCATTGATCAGAACTTAGTTCCATGGCTGTCCCTCGGGGGCGGGGGGAGGGGGGCTGGGTAATGTGACCTTCAGCAGGGCACAGTCGGAGTAAAATGGGGGTTTGTGCCTAAGGAGGAAGAGGAGAATGAGTGTTGGGCAGACCACCTGTAGTGTCTGCCTATAAAGGAGAGGCTAGTTGAGGTAGAAAACAAGGAAGATTAGACAAGAATGTCCATGAGGCTGGAACGCAGGGCGGGAAGGAATTGAGGAGACGAGAAAGGAACCCAGAGGTGGTCTTGGCCTCATGAGTCTTCACCTTTCTTCCTTAGCCTGGTGCCTTCCGTGAATGGGCAGACGGTACAGGCTGCTCAGAGCAATTCAGTCTGATGTCCCAGGGCGTAGGGAACTGGCTTTTTGATAGCTATTACCATGCATACAACCAAGGGACATGAGGTTTTTTTAGACCATTCATGACAGCCCCAAAGTTTTCTTTAAGAAAGACGATAGACAGTTTAATTTCTGATGTGTTACTTTATGCAAATATTTACTCACCCAGCCGTTTCAAAATATAATTCAAATGCACAAGATAGGGGCAAGACAACTTTTAGGAAATGACTGAATTCCACTGCAATTGAGCCTTCTTGCCGCCACTGTGAAATTTCTTAACCTAGCCTAGTATTTTTTTTTTTTCAAATGAGTAATGCCTATTTATAGGGAATTTGCAAACCATTTCAAAGGGCATAGGAGATGTTTGGTCTCTGCCTATACACTTTATATAACAGTTAAAAAAAATTATTGTCTTACAGATTTCATTCATAAAAGTGGCTTTGAAAGGAAAACGGGCAAGGCCTGAACTGTTTATAGAGTGCTCAGAATTTCAGAGGCTTGACAAGATTAGATGTCATACTGACCAAGACTTTCCTAGTCTTGTTAGACTTGAGGATTAAAGGAGGCCTGTCCCAAAACTTAGAATGTAACCTTAATCACCTCTTCAGTTTAAAGGACAAAAAAACTTTACCTTTGACCATTTTGAAAGGTTGATTTCTGACATCCGTTTGCTAAGAGAATCCTGGAATCCTTTGGTAAAATGGAAATGAGTATGGTAGGTCTTCAAAAATACCTACAACAATTACATGCCTGTAGCTAAGCATGCAAGGAATATATTGATATTTAGTCTCTCTGAAGATTGCCTTCTATGGGAATGCAATTTTATCTGGATAAATGTGTGCATCTGATGTCGGTATAATTTTTAGGGTGTGACTCTTTCAATCATTGCTGAATTCCACGTGCATATTCATTTATCTTTCACCTCAGATCTAACTGGCTCAAAAGCCCCGATGCTGACTCTGACCAGCTCTTCCGCATGGTGGCAGAGGTCTTCATCCTGTGGTGTAAATCTCACGTAAGCACACATGGGGGCCCTGGATTTAGAGTCGGTGGTGAAAGGTACACCTCAACTTTCTTGTAATGTTTGCTTTTTTACTTCCCCCCACTTAGAACTTCAAGAGGGAAGAGCAAAATTTTGTGATTCAGAACGAAATTAATAATTTGGCATTTTTAACTGGAGACAGCAAAAGCAAGATGTCAAAAGTAAGTCCATAGAAATCAATTCCAAAGACTCTCCAACCTTGACCTAAGCTACTTATCTTGGGTGTATGAAGGGATTAGCTCCTACTGCGTTTAGGTCAAACAACAGAAACCAACAGGTCCACTGTTCTTTCTTTGAGAATGAGCCAGAAGAAACTGCTCTCAAATAAGCATGGTCATCACATTTTATAAATAAGTAGCTGCTTTGTGCGTCAAAAAGTTTAAGTTTCAAGACTTGCCTGAGGCATTCGAGAGGTCTCTAAAACAAAAGCTGCTGGTACTTGTTTTAAAGTAGAACTACTTGCTGTGTAGAAAAGCTATAAAAATACATGTGCCTAGAGCCACCTTTTAATTAGCTGTGAGGACATTGCCTTGCTTTGAAGATTTCGTAGACACATATTCTTACAGTGCACTTATTTTCTTCCTATCTTGAACATCTAGTAGCTGCTTTATTTCAGCTGTGCTGACCTCTTAATGCCTTCTGTTTATTTTCCACCCACGTGAGTTGCATTCAGAAACCCAAACATTTGTCCATCCCCCTGCAGGGAAATGTTTGAAAGAGGGCGTTGCAAAGATCTGTCTGAAAACAGAGTCACCTACAGGGAGGGTGTCGCACTATTGAATACAGGAGGGGCAGCCGGCCTCCGGGTTCCCCCTGAGTCAGCTCTGCACAGTGAGGTTTTGCTGTTTTTATTGGAGAGAATTCTCAGACACACTCCTTTAGGTGTACACACAAAAACAAGGCTTACTTAAATGTGCCGTTTCGTTCCCGGCTGTCGTGGCCTACCTGGGCTCTCTTCCCCTGAGAAGCGTGCCTGGGTGAGGGTTGACTGTACTGTCACGTATAAGAGACGTGTGACACCTGAGATGTGCATCTCTCTCACTGCTGGTACAGTGCTGCCTCTGAGTCCCAGGAAGGTGGAGTGTGCACGGGAATCTCTCAGAAGTGAGAACCAGTCCTGGAAAGATGACGGTCGCGGGTTTGTAGCAAAGCTCTTGGGGCAACCTTCCAAATAACCATTTGGGATAGAAGACCTTTGTATGCAGAGCTGCAGACCAGGGGCCACCAAAAGTGAAAATTTCAACACCCAAAACTTCACCAGGCGTGCCTAGCTCTGGTCAGCTGCAGTCACTCTGAACTTTCCATCCCTTCCATCTTTAAGCTGTGTTGGCATTAACACTTCTTCCAGCATCCAAAATTTGATTCTCAGAGTTTAGAATCTGGTATGCGCTGTTTAGTAAAGTTTGATAAATAGAACTGTGCACGTACAATGTAGAGAGATTAGGTGTATATATATTCACATTCAAGAGGAATCTTTGCTGCAAAGGAACCTTACTTAAGGTGCATCCTTTTGCGCTTTGGATAATTTTGATTTGATTTTCCAAAGTTTATTTTGCCTTTGACTTTTGGCAAGCACAGCTGCTCATGTGAGGTACAGGAGGAAGGATATTTTCAGACTCCTGATCCCTGGATATCTATCCCTAAGTTCCCTCTGAAGGGGCTTCTTAAAACCATTACAGTGTCTCGTTTGACCCTGTCCACCTACCGAAAGTCACTGAATCCCAGACAGATTCCTTGCTACCTTCAACTTGGGGTAGGTCTTTTGGCCTTTGATTGAACCAGCTAGCATCCATTGTTATTGTCAGCGGATGGCAAAAAAGCAAAGAAAATGATTCTGATACAAGGATTTGGATCCCAGATGAGCAGAAATGGCAAAGATAATCTCAGCCCTCTGGTGATGAATGCATACTCAGGGTCCTTGGGTTTATACTTGGAAAGAGAAGAGGTGACAAAGAATGATGTTTCAAAACTAACCTACTAACAAACTAACCTGGAATTGTTCATTCACATCACTGAATGAGGAAAAGGGTATGTTAGTCTTGTCAGAGGATGAGCATATTGAGAATCTGTGCATCTTTCCTGCTGGTAAGTTTAGTCCATAGGAGCAGATGCTTTCATTTCATTTCCATTGACATTGTATGCCAGTTTTTTCTGAGGTATGTTGGAGAGGGTCAAAGTTACAGTGTAGTGGATGTAAGGACACTCCCTAGATGTTAAATAATATTTGCTGTGCTTCTCAGGGTAACAGATATTCATATCATTCCTGTGGCCTCAGTTGAGCCACAAAGTGTAGTAGCAAACAGGACTTATGCTTGTCCAGGGTATTCAGAGCCTGAAAGGAAGCGAAGTCCCACTCTTGGCCCAGCTGCTCGGTATAGGTATGGCCTTGCGTCGTTCACTTAACTTCCCGGGGCCCCAGTTCACCAATCTGTAGAATGGGCTTGAGCTTACTGCCTGACTTCTCCCAGCTCTACCAGTAGGCCCTGTTGGAAAGTCAGTTTTAAATGCATCTCTAGAATTGAATAATGTTACATAAATGCAGCACATTATTTCAGACAGAGAGATATCATACCTCCAATAAACAGCAACTCATAGCCATTTCTGGTATTTCTTGGCTGTAGAACTACATATTGCGAGGATGGGGAGGGGGTATTCTCTTTATTATCAGCTGAATCCCCATTGCCTTTGCCTCCCTGAAATGACATGTTCTCTCTACTACCTGATCTGAATGGTCACCTGTGCTTGCTTTTATCTGCACTCATAATTGAATTCTGGTGTTGTATAAATGAAGTTGGCCTCAGTGCATATGGCAGAGATATGTGTGCTGGCATGCTGCATGCCCACACACACTGCACATGCCATTGCAAATGGAAAGGAAGTGGAAAAAATATACAGTGGGCCACACTGTTCTTACTTGATTAATTGAAGGTCAGTTCAAAGATGTGTCCTTTTTTCCAGCAGCTAAAGCACATTTTGGGGAGAGCTCATTGGATTGTATTTTGTTTATATAACACCAGTTTGCAAATATATGTTAAGCCATACATAACTAAGCTGAGCAGCGTGTTTTTTGTTTTGTTTTTAAACTCGTTTTGTTTTCTGGAAAAGTGGCAGCAGCTTCCTCAGAGGGGAATGGTAAGTTAGAATGTGTTTAGCCCAAGAAATGCCAGTTCCTTGACCAAGATTATAAACAATAAAAGAGTTGTGATGCAGCAAATACTAGAGTGCCTCGTGTAAAGCCGCTCCACCCCATGAGCGTGATTTCAGTGTATTGGAAAAGGGCAGGGAGGAGTTGAGAAGACATCTTTATGCTTGTCCAGGGTATTCAGAATGACGTGTGTGACTTTGTTTGCTTGTTCTTCCCATCCCCCTAGCTGCTCACTCGCCTCTCTCTCATTCCCTCCACCACCACCACCACCCCCCC